TAATTACACATGCACAGACCAGCTAATTACACATGCACAGTTCAGCTAATTACACATGCACAGTTCAGCTAATTACACATGCACAGACCAGCTAATTACACATGCACAGTTCAGCTAATTACACATGCACAGTTCAGCTAATTACACATGCACAGTTCAGCTAATTACACATACACAGACCAGCTAATTACACATACACAGACCAGCTAATTACACATACACAGACCAACTAATTACACACACATACATAGCCCAGATAAATATATACATGTATGTGTAAAAGGTTTACAACAGCAGCATGCCATATAAATCACTCACTCCAGGGGAGGTAAAAATGAAGAAAAGTTCAAGGCACAAAGTGATACATTGATAGTCGTCAGTCATTTGTATATTTTTCTAAGGGCAGTAAATTTCTACAGTGTATACACTGGATGGTTGTGAATAATGGTATTCCAATGTTGTTATCATAAATCCTCCCAAGTGATGAAGAAAGGATACCACACACATCTTCATATACCATAAAACTGCATCCATTATCAATTTTCTTATCAACATGATTTCATAAAAACAATACACCAATATATATTTCACCAAGCAGGAATATTACATTTCATAAAATTAATATGAATGCGAGGAATTTTTGGAAATTTTCAAAATTAATTTCTTAATGTCTTGTATGAACAATTGTGGGTATAGTTGTGTATATGGACCATACCATTTATATTGAAGGGGTGGGTTTCTACATCAATCGATTTGGAACATGACAGACAAAATGGTAAATTAAATACTGTGAAATACTTAAAATTAAACTGGAATTAATTTTCGGTAAAAATAAATTTTGTATGATGTTTATTTTCACTAATTCATCCTTTCAGCGAAAAAGTTATTTTCACCTGAAAATAAACTATTTAAATTTTAGCTGACAATAGCATTTCAGAATAAGTAAACAAAGTAAAATTCACTTCTGCATTCTTTTGGTGTTCTCAATCTGGAAGGCAAATGTCGTACTAATGAATACACGTTTGGAAAACTTCCCATTTATTATATAGGGAACAGAACAGTTGTAAAAAATCTTATTTATATCAACGAGGGTTTCGTTAAGAGCCGCTGCCGGCCATATGACCGGCTACACACCCAATTTGGTAGTTTTGAACTACGAAGAATTACACAAATTTTGACATTTTTCATTGCCCCCTTGATTTTTTTTTTCTATTTTCTGTAGCATTACGACATGGAACTTTAATTATAGTATGAAGAAAATTATATACAATCTTAAATTTTATACAACTTTCTATAATACAAATTTTATTTATTTGGCCATGGAGTAACAGTCCAAAATAAGGTCAACTGCAGTAGATTGCTGTAAATAAAATATAAAATATTGTTTGTTCAATTGAGTTCACTACTCATAAAAGCTGTTTACTGTCGCTTTGGGTATATCATAAATCAAACCAAGGTGGTCCACTCGGGTCCAGATCAAAGTTTAGTAATAACTTCTTTTTTTCTCCTGATGATGACCGTCAAATCATGGCCATCTTAACGTATTTTATTTTCTGTTAGGAGCACACAACACAACGCTGTTAATATAAAATTCAAACCATACGATTATGGCCCTTTAAACTTAACCATTTCACCACCACTTCCCCTCTTTTTATCACAAAATAGTCCAATTTATAGTCTGCACTTTCCTTTAGAAGATTAGGACTAAAAATAGCCAAATTTTTCGAGTAAAATCTGAAAATTTATTCAAATTTTTTTGTGAGTTCAAAATTGGAGTTCATTTCTAGAAATATTGAAGATATAAGAAAAAAGTCGAGAAAAAAACTGAGAAAGTCTGGTGGAGAAAAGGTTAATGCCTGGCAAAAACAATGACAGTGTTCAGTTGGATGTTTTTCATAACAAATGTGGGAAGTACAATGACAGTGTTCGGTTGGATGTTTTTCATAACAAATGTGGGAAGTACAATGACAGTGTTCGGTTGGATGTTTTTCATAACAAATGTGGGAAGTACCAACCCCTACCCAATATACACTACATAACATGTTGAGATTATGGATTAGTAACGAGATTATTGTAAAATATGAATTTAGGCTACTTAATAATTTGTTATCACATTGTAGTATGCAAGTCTAATGAATAGTACTCTCAAAATGATAGGCGTGGGAAGGTTCAGGGCGGAAGATCTATTTTTAATATTTTATATTTTATTAGCAAAAAAATTATTTTTACACATTTTTATGATTTTTTTTTTATGATCAGAAGTGATGTTTCACATAGCTGCTAAGTGGGAATCCAAATTTAAACAGGCCCTTACCTATTAATAGTATTTATAAATACTGAATATTAAATACACATATTGTAGTATTTTATTATAAATATCACAACTATAATAAATAGCCAGGATAGCAAGATTAATAAATAAGACAATACGCAAGAGGCCTATTCTTAGTTGGCATTTATGCACTTACTTTATTAACCCCAAAAGACCAATTAGTTTTGCTGACATGAATGAATCAGACAGTTTTATTTTTAAAATCAAACAGTGTACATTACATACACACAAGCGACCTAACTGTTGAAATACTCGTAGCTCTGATGTCTTCAACAAAGTTGATAATGTTCCGTATGATGAGATAACTATTTGCCATGGTTATTTGTGTTTCCACAATATTCTTGCCATATCACAACCATTCAGTAGGTAGTTGCCATAGCAATTGCAATTTTTCACCAAGTGTAAAAGCAAACGAGGTGGCAGATTTCAAGTAAAAGTCAAAAATTACATTTTTTACTAAAAAATATTCACTCAAAATCAGAGATTTTAAAATATTGTCACGAAATGAACAAATATGACTTTGTAGTTTCAAGAAAAAGTAGAAAATAAAATTGTAGACGGACGACCAACAATCACATATATAAACAGCTCTTATCTGTCATCTTTGATAATACGGGCAAGGTAATAGAATTAAGTAAATTTTAAAAGACTAAACACATAACTGTCAAAGTGGATATGATGAATATAATTGTTCAAATCAATAAACTTGTCAACTGATATATGTCGACTTACAAATGCTGGTAGAGAGCTGTATTTTCAAGAGTTGCAAAGTAAACGGTGGCTACAGAATTATTTAATGTGCATACACAGCATATGATAGTGGTGTGGTGCCTGTTAATTTCAACAAACTTGAACTCAAGTTCAAGCCATTACACCAATGAGGCAACAATTCAACAGTGGTGGATAAGCATTAAATCTTTTGGGGGCTGAGTTGCCTAGCAACACTGTTTTTAATTTAGCATCTATACTGTTTTTTGTATATGTATAAGTAATAATTAAGGTAAAATTTACTCAATCTAAATATTTTAACAAATAGCAAATGCAAACAGATGAATGAGGTTAATTTTTCAGAAAAGTCACTTTTTTATAAAAAATTATAGTTCCCAAAGGCTACAACATTATAGATTATCATTTGTCTATCACCTTTGAACTTTGTGCGTTTGTTTGCACAAGTGAAAATAAAAATTCTCTGGTAAGTATGTCAGTAACTATAAACATATTTTTAATCGATGTAATGCTTAACCAAAACGTTGTGGTGATGAGATGGAAGGTGAAAAATTTGCCAATTTTGTTTTTATGTTGATGTAGTATTTATGTTTATACAGGTAGAACAGGTAGGCAGATAACGGTACTGTAAATGCATTAATTAATTGGTTTTTAATTTTGCTATTTTTTTCTGATACTAAAATCTGCTAAATTAAATCCACATGAACATGTGAAATAACAATAGAACTCACTGTTTTGAACTCAAGTTTGTGAAATTAAAAGCCAGTGAAATACTAGTAGCTCCAAACATCAAAATAGTTAAAATTAAATATCAGTGAAAATAAACTTTGTTACTTACTTCTGGGTATTCTTTTGATGGAACAAAAAGCTTTTCTGAAAGTTGTACTGGGGCTCCACTCACTTCTGGAAGTACTAACGAGTCTTGGACTCCACTGGTAACCTGAAAAAGTGTCGCTCTGACTCGGCTGATTTCTGTAAGAGAGCAGAAAAAATAATTTAATACAATTGTTGAATAAACAGAAATAAACTAATTTATAGATGAGGTGAATGCCAGAAGTAAATGTCTTCACTTGCTATAACTATTTGAAAAATCTTTAAAAAGACAGTATTCAAAACTGTACAGTAAACAATCCTGAATCACAGTCCTATATATACTGTAAAAAGATTAATTATTCACTGGGTTTTGATTTTGCTTATTTGTCTGACTTGAAAAAGTGCTAAATTAAAACACAGTGAATATGTAAAATTTAGCATAGAACACATTATCTAAATGACGAAACAGTGAATTTAAAACCCACTGAATTTGCCTGAAATGGTAAATCAGATAAATTTAAACCCAGTGAAAATTAGTAATTTTACAGTATGTTAACGCAAGAGTAGACAGTTAATTAGTGAAAGCCCGTCTCCCAATACAGTGCCTTTCTGGCCAATATCAAAGTACCGTAAAATCTGTATTAGAAGCCGCATCCCTAATAGAAGTCGCACCCATTCTTTTTGAATGTTTGAGAACCGAAAATTCATCATTTCTCATATGTGTAGATGCTCTAATAGAAGCCGCATCCCCTCTGTTGCATTGTACCATTTTAATAGAAGCCGCGGTTTCTAATACAGATTTTACAGTAGATATCAAGCGATGTGTTACACTATGCATACACAGTACTCATTCTGTTTGTACTTACATAGCCCAACTCAAGATTCTGACTGTCACCGACATAACATACAAACAAATGCAAATACTCAGTAACAAGTACATGCTCTCGACTATATAAATACTAAACACACAGCTGATCAATATTCTCATCCTTTACAAACAACTCACCTAATTGAACATTCACAACACACATTGAACTCTAAAATCTTATCTTTAATTACACGTGTAGTTGTAGTTGCGTCTCCAACACTTTCACAATTACATAACACTTTCGCAATACAGTTAGTGACAACAATATCATTTCTGATCATTAACTTAAATAAACTAATATTTAAGACACTTGTTTACAGTAAATGTATTCTTTCATAAAAGAATTATATAAACAACTTAAGGTAGCGAGAAGGTTTTGTGATGTTTTTAAATAAAACATTCTCTATCTGTTGTCTCGTTCAGAACAGTAATTTAGGTTATATATATCAAAAGACTGAGTATAGAGGTGCAAGTTCGCACAAACTGGACAGACATTGTTTACATAATTATCACGTGAC